TGAAATTCATTGACGAGAGACGGCGAGGCGCGAGGCGAAGAGAGAAAAGGAACTAGCGCGACATGATCGCGTTATCGACGCTTCGTCAACTCCTTAAATCAGCGAAGGTAGGCGCGAGGACGAGTGGGGATGAATGGGAGAGAACGCTCCTTTCCTCTTTCTTCTTCCTTCCTTCCTTCCTTCTCCTCTTCTTTTTTCTCCGCTCCGTGACGAAGAGGGGACACGCGCATGCAGATCACGTCGGTTGTAGCCAAGTGATAGCGTATCTGTGGGCGGCGCGTGCGTGTGGTCCTTCTATGTCCCCTTAGACTCCCCTCCTCTTTCGGTCCCCTCGCTTCCAGCATGCCCGAGGGAACTCTCTCCGTTCCGAATCACCGTGACGCGCCCTCTCCCCGCGCCCATTTCTCGCCACCCCCGCTGCCGGTTTCCGTCCGCTTATCGTGAGGAAGAAGCGAAGTGTGTGACGTTCGATCGGATGGAAAAAAGAAGTCCCGGCCTCGTCGTTCATTATGACACGATTATTTTAATTGGAAACGCGTCGTCCGACGACTATCCTCGCTATCTGCAAGGTGGCCATAAATTCGCCCACGTGGCCACCCTGTATAATTAGATAAGCGTCGGATTCCGTAATCATCTCCGGCGCGAACTCTCCGTGGATAATGAAAGGGAGCACGGACGATGTATCATCGGCGCGCGCCGGCAAATTATTATGTAAACCCTCGTCGAACAATTTCCGTCGGTCACTTATCGAAACACCCGGTGATTGACGCGGAGGTGGTGGACGACCGACTTTCCCGAGAGCGCGCGATTTCCGGCGTTCGGATCCTCCCCATTGGAATTATGCGCCGGATATTTTCGGATGAAATTTCCTCCGTGAAGAACCTGCGCAAAATCCCGTCTCTTCCTACATCCGCGGCTGTATTTTCCGTACTTACGCTCCGCTCGGAACACCCGGGGATCCTACGAAAATATTATTCGAAGCCCCTGTCGTTCCAGTTTAAGTTGGACTCATTGTTGGTGCCGTTTACTCTACCTATCTCTGTTGTCGTTCTCCGAGAGGTTCCCGGTGGAAAATCCACCCCTCGGACGCGTGCCCGGTTAAGACGACGGGTAAAGGCGTCCGTCAGCGCCGCGAGCACAATGGTCATCGAGAATCCCGCAGACGCGCGCCACGGAAGTCCGTCCGAATATCCGTCGGTCGGATAATATTGAAACGCGGCTACGAACGCGACGTCGCTCGTCTCGTGAGAAGCCGTTTTTCCCCGAGTCGAAATTTCAGTTCTACGTTGATCCTGCAAATTCGGTCGAGCTTGAAGGATCAATGAAGAAATATAATACTGTACGGGGCGGCTTATCCACGATACTACAAATGGTTGTTGGACGTCGTTTACTCGTTGAAGAAACTCGAAGAAACATTCTGAAGAAGTTCGAAGAAGCACTCGTTCGGGAATAATTTAGTACTTGATTATCTTAATATTTTCCGTACTTAATATTTACTTTTTTATTTCATCTAGCGAGATATTAATTATGTAACTTAACTGCAAGTAGAATATATGAGATAGGCAAATATTAAATATTTATTAAAGATTAATAGGTAAACGGGTGTGAAAGACAATACATTTTTATTCGCTCTTTCTTTTTTCTTTTGGCGTTGAAAATCTCGGTGAAATGGACGCTTTTAAAAGAGCTGTTGAGGAGGAAGCTGTAAAGACGAAAGTAACAATTGGGTGTCCGATAATGCTGTTTACCAATAAAGATATAAATTTGGATTTCGTGCACAATAACAAGTCTAAGTTGAAATAAAATGAATGTTGGCAGACACGAACAAAATCGTACTCGTGACTCAACAAGCATTATCAGGCGTAAAAATTATTTATGAGATTTACGTTACAGTCTAAGGCCGGTATACACAATTGTGAATTGTTTAGTATCTTTCACTGAACATAATTAATTATAGATTCGATTACAGATATTCAAGGACCGTTATTTCGTGATTTGTGTCAATGTGCAAAAAATAACAAATACAGATACAGGTTGAATAATCGGAGATTCATGAAGCTACAATTACTCGTCAAATAATGACGGATTGTGAATATCGGCCTGTATTTCGACTCGAGTATCTCTCTATTCTCGGTAAGTTTGTCAAAACCGGGTCCGTTAAAAACGGGAATTTCCCGCATATAATGATTTATATCACACCTGAAAATATACGATGTATCGTTGTCCATCCTGTTAAGCACCCTGCGTTCTCCGTCCTAGCTTTTGGCACTACATTGGCACCACATTCGCATAGATTCGATTGAAGGTACATACATGTTTAAAACATGATGTCAACAAGAATCTAACTAAACGTTGTGAATGCAAGAATTCGTGCTGGACAACAATAGATGTCATTAGAAGAATTGTGTAGTAGCGCCGTTGATCGTTATGTATACATATTGCACATTTATAGAAAAGTGATTGTTCGATCACATTGCAAAGCGATTTAAATGGAAAAAAAATCGCATCTTTGGAAACCATCAAAAACCATCTTTCTTCTCTTCTCAGCACAAAACTGAAGTCGTTTTATGACCGAGGCATCTATATGTTACCAGAACGTTGGGAAAAGATTGAGTAAAAAACGACGACGATTACGTCATTGATTAATAAAACAATTTCACACGGCCAAATTGCCGCCTGAGTTTTAATGATAAATCGGGCACGAACTTTTGCACTCACCCGATATTTCAGCAACCGACGAAATATTTTAAGCGTCCAAGGCGAATGATGACGCACCGGTGCATGTACAATCTGTGGTATGTGTATCGTTCACCAGCTCGAAACGTAATGAAAATATTCGGAAGAACACGCGACACACAGGTAGGTTCTGACCTCTGCGAAGATCGCAATTTTGCGAGAGCGTTGATTGTTGTTATCGCTCGGCCACTCGCTGGTGGGGAGGCGATGCGACAGTTGGTCCTTTTTGCCTGTTGTTGTTTCGGTATTCTCGCGCACCTCGCGTATTTCCCTGCGATCGAACGTTACATCGCATTTTACACGAATATTTCGTCGGCTCTTGAGATATTTCACTGCACTCTTGACGGCATCGCGTTATTTACTACGTGTATCTCCGATCGAGTCGCATTCACAACGGAGCAGCCGGGATGGAGAAGCCAGGATGGAGAACACAAAACGCTGGGACGCAGAGGCGCGGGGCGGGCGGAGATACATGTATTTTCAGGTATGTGATATATTATTTATTATACAGAGGAGGCTTCTCTCCATTTTTTAACGAACGTTTGACGAACTCACGTGGAATAAATAAATACCCGAGTAGAAATTATTTAATATTTGTCTATAGTACACATCAATTAGTACTTGCAATTAAGTCAGTTAATAATTGATATGTTACTAGTTGAAAAGTCAAGAATAAAGATTAAATTCATGTAGAATATTGAGATAACCGAACATCAAATAATTCTAAAGCCTATTTCTTCAGAGGACAATTCAACGCGAAGAAAAAATAACATTGAGTAAATCTTAAATCAAGCGAAGTTGAGTAACCGTTCCTAACATGAAGGTAGGATAATATCCTGTACGGGGTCCTTCAAGTTCGATGGTGTTTGTAGGATTAATGTGGCACCGACATTTCGACTCTCGGGTCCGGTTGTCCGGGACGCTCTCTCCTTTCCCGTCCGTGCGGCGGGTGTCCTCCTGCGCTACCCTTCGTTCGTCTTCGTGAGTGCCATACGCGTATCCCGACGCCGTAAACACGATTTTGCCAACAACACGGCGGGTTTTGCGGTAAAACGACGGGCCGTAATTCGCGGTAAAACGTCCGCCGGTAAGAATTTATGAAAGCTCGCCTGGGAGTCCGGGTTTACGTGCGCATACAAGCAGACCGCGTGTGCTCCTTTTGGGCGAGCGGCAGGCGGTGGTAGTCGACCGGTCGTGCAGGATTCTCCTTATCGACACGAGGAGACGGTCGTCTTCGGGACGTCGTACCCCCAGGTATACCCGAAATAGCGTCGTTCGGGACCCACCACCGCCTCTTTCCCCCCCTCCTACCTCTCTATCCGGCCGGCACCTTCGAGAAAAGAAACGTAACCCTAGACGTATCGCGGTGTCATGTCCTGCGCACCTGGCGGCCCCGTTCTTTGTAACACAATACACGCGTTTCGTCCTCCCGCTCCTCCGCCACCTTCCTCTCTGCTCTTTAACTTCTCCTCTACGCCCAGCGCGTATCCTTTTGTCTCACCTTCTCTCCTCGGCCCGTCATCAGCTTATATCTAGCCTGGATATGTGGAACGAATAAAAAAAGGAGACAAGAATCTCCCGGTTTAATACCAGAGGGAATGGAATTCGGCCGGGCGGGATGGAGATACACTCGCTCGGACCAGCTCGGGCTCCATACTCCACGAGTACTCCCCGTGTGCGTCAGGGGGAAACTTACTGGATTCGTTGTTAGGTTTGCGCGCGCAGAGGAAACGCAGAATGAAACGAGGGTGCAGACGACAGTGAGTTAAAAAATAATAATAAATGCTTATATATTTTTTTTTACACGTACAAAGGGAGACAGAACACAACGGACACGTGATGAGATACACAGTTGAAGAGCGAACGCGGCGGCCCTTCGCCGATTACAAACGTGATTCCGGAGAGTGTACTGCGCATCGCATACATAGAATAATTACAGATCTAGACGTGCACGAATTCCGTATACGGCCTTATATCGTGATGTACATAACAATGATTACGCTCTAACGTTAACGATGATAGATAGTGTAGGCAGGTAGATATACAATGAGAGTCGGAGGGGCCCGAGAGAGAGAGAGTACGCGCATAGAAATCGAAATCCCGCGGCGTCCGAATCGTCGCGGGGAATCGGCCGGGAAAAATCGATTCAGCGCGTCTCTTCTTCGTAAATAAATGAGCGTCGATCCGCGTCGTTCCCGGGAGAAAGTCACGTCGCGATATACCGTCGAGGCATTTTCTCGCTTGTACGCGCGACCGCACGCGCACTAGGACGTCTCCTGGAGCACGACGGTGCTCCCGCCCGAGACGGGTATGCCCGACGGTGGCGGCGGTGGCGACGACGACGGCACTCCCAGATTGTGGGTCAACGAGTGCCGTCTCAGATCACAGTTCCTGCGGAAGACTTTGCCGCAGGAGGTGCAGTGGTAGGGCTTAATGTCCGTGTGAGTGAGCAGATGGGTCTTGAGGTTGCTCCTCTGATTAAAGCTTCGGGCGCAGACCGGGCACTTGTGCGGCGACTCCTCCATGTGCAGGATCTTGTGAACGGCCAGGGTCCGGCTCTGGCAGAATCCCTTGCCGCATTCGCCGCATTTGAACGGTTTTTCCTTGCTGTGGATATACCTGCGACGCAGAAGGAACGGTTTTTCTCTTCCTTTCCTCTCTCTTTTTTCAATTGTCTACTCGCGGGGGGGAGGGAATTACTCCTCGATATCGGTGTAATCTGGGACCCGATGCGATGCACAGAAGGGAGGAGACAAAGCGCTCTCCCGGCGCACGCGACGGCGCTATCGTCTCTAAATGAACGTTATTATCTGGACGAAAGTTACAATTATCGCGACGATGAAGACACGGAATGAAAATGAATGAGTTATGACACGGTCGGTCATTAAATATAATATACACGTCGTTCGATCATCGTCGTAATTACGCGAGGAGGTAAAAGGCGTTCCTCGGATTTGTCCGTTCATAAATTGCACGCCGCCTGTGTAATTAATTGCGACGCGATAAAAAGATGAATATACCGGCGCGGTCTCTGTACTCTCTTCCATCACGAGGAGGCAGTGAGAATTCGGTGAAGAGTCCTACCCTCCCGCGAGCGAGCACCGTCGGCTTTTACCGCCGCCATTGCATAACACGCGTGTCATTATAACTCTTGCTTCTCTCTTTCGCCCCGACAGGATATAGATAAATTTAAATTCAAAACGATTACCTTAATCGCGCGATTAACAATGTCGCGGCGCCGTGAGACTCGAGATTTACACGCCGCTGCCGTTGCCAATAATCCAACGCGTAAATTACGCGCGTGAGCCGGCCGGCTAATAAATACGACGGTAACATTTGCAAATGCAATCCGACATCCAACGTCAGCGTTGATCGAGTCGCAGGACGGGCGAAAGTTTATTCGTGCATAATGGCGCATCGTTATCGCGTTTATAATTTATCCGTATTGCCGAGAAGCGATGAGCGTAAAAAAAGAATGAAACTAAAGTTGAGGATCGGTCGAGGACGGTTACCTGTGATCCCGGAGGTGATCCTGCCGTCGGAAAGCTTTGCCGCAAATGTCGCACGAGTACGGCCGCTCGTCGGTGTGCGTCCTCTCGTGGATCAGCAGATTGTAGCTCTTGGTGAACTGCCGGCTGCAGAACTTACAAATGAACTGTTTCTTGGGCCGGGACGTCCTGCAAGTCCTTGGTACACTCGAGTCGACCGACGCGTGTTGCGCGGACGACGAGGAGGACGAGGAGGAGGAGGAGGCGGAGGAGCAGCCGGAGGAGGCCGAAGACGAGGCGAAGGACGGTGTCGCGACGAGGGTGGAGGAGGACGAGGACGACGAGGACGAGGATTGCGGCGTTACCGAGGCGTTCGCGCGGTTCCCCCCTTCGGATATCCGTCGCAGCAACAACTCGTGATTCGCGGTCGGCGAGGCGACGACGGTCGTCGCCTCGCGCAGTAGCACCTCCTCCTCCTCCTCGAGGAGCGCCAGGTCCTCGTCGGGGTCGGCGACGAAGTCCAACCGCGCCTCGTCGTCCTCGGCGATCGACGCGGCGGCCGAGCGCAGTAGCTGATCGGCCGTCACCAGGTGGTCGTTCTTGAGGACGCCCGACGTCAGCGTCGCGTTCTCAACGGCGTTCGGACACCTTTGCCCGACCGCGGTGGTCGTCGCCGGCGCGACGCCGGAAGTCGCGCCGCTCGCGTGAAGACGATGGAGCGTCAGGTACGTCTCGAGCGCTTGCAAGTTCAAGGCCGCCGCGGCTGCGTGACCCGGTGGCAGGAGAGCTGCGCGTTGCAGGGCGGAGAGGAGGGCGCCCTGGAGCCGCAGGGCGACGCTCTGGAGCGCCAGGTTCGGCAGTTCGGCGCCCGTCACGAGGCCCGCGACATCGGTGTCGCGCAGATCCGTCGCGATCGACGAGGTCGACGACGACGAGGAGGGAGTGGACGACGGCACCATTATGAACCTCCGCTGCTCCGGATCCTGCTCCTGTTCCTGCAGTTCCTGCTGCGGCTGCTGCATCCTCCGTTGTGATCGTCCCGGATTGACCTCTGGAACGCGCGCTCGTACTGTTCCGCCGGTACCATTGGCGATCGCTGGCGAACCCCGGACTTATCCCGACCGCTGCTCCTGACGGCTGGCGGTGACGCAACGTGGATACGCGGCCATCCGCGATGTTTCGCGCGCGATTCACACTCCGGCACACTCTCTCTCTCGAGATCTCGCGCGCCCGCGCGCAATCACGTGTCCCCGCAGCTTTCCATCGGTGCGTCCTCCGCGCGCGCGCAGCCACCGTCGACGACACCACGGCCAACGGAATTTGCGGAAACGCCAAAGAGAGGGTGCACACGCGCGATGTTGGCGGTGCGAAAGCGCCCCGAAGACTGCTCCTACCTGCCGCTGCTGGGTATTGCTGGTGGAGCCACCTGGTGGCAGGTATCCGAGTCAAAATGGGCCTGTCCGCGGGGAACGGACCCCGGATTCAGGAGAGAGAACCACAGCTGGCCCGCGCGATCGCCGGCACGTCGCGCGCGCGCGCTTCGTGTCCGCGGGGACTCTCGCGGAGGTTGCGAGACGCGTGCGTGCGTACGTGCGTGCGGGGGAATCCGGAAACGTGGATCGCGATCGCGCGCTCTCGCGGGTCAACAGCTGTTTGACCCGCGAGTGCTCTCGCCTCGCTCGTGCTCGATCGGCGAATGTCTAACGAACGTCTCGCGACTCATTGTTCGATGGAAAGCGGCGTTTCGCCGCGGGGGGGACCCGGGCCCGTCGTTGAAAAATTATTTACCCGTTAACCGTCCGTTAGTCGCAATATTTTTCACCCGTGACTTCGCGATATACCTCGCAGGTACGTGGAAAGAATTAGTCTTGCGTCATGAATTTGATTGAATTTCTACCGATGCAATGTATTACTTGCATTCAATTCAAAGGGCTAAAAATCTTCTAAGAATATTATATTATTCTTGCTTATATGTGAAAATATATATATATATATATATTGCTTTAAGATTATTTCTCTCTGTGTACACACTAATTTTCCCATTTTTCTGCTTCTTGGAAGAATTTTTCTTCTATTAGCACTTGAATAACAGACCAGGCATTAAAGTATATAAAAACAATGAAAAACAAATCGACAAATATCAGAATAGTATCTATTGCGACTAACAAAAACCTATACAGCACAAATATTCATAAAACATCCTACAGACGTTGGAAAATATTTGAATATCCCTGGGAATATCTCTGGGATGTCTTTTCAACATTTGCGCTGTATGAGAGAATGAGAGAAAAAGATGCGCATAGAATATCGTATAGACGTTAAGATCGAGATTGACCCCGTCTCCGACTTCGACCGATCCTGAAAATGCCTTTCTTTTTACTCGTACGCGGTACAGTCAGGCATATTTCGCACTTTCGAATACTCAGATACTCGCAATTCGCGGCGGAGGACATCGGGCGAAAAGGTGAACAGAGTACTTCGATGAATTCGGCCGATACTTTGCGCGCTGGTTGTTATCGCGTTTTAATCGGAGCGCGAACGGCGCAGCGATAATCTTCCGTCGGGATTGCAAATTACTCGCGAGCGAGTGGTTCTTCGGAAACCTACACAAAGACAAAGATTACAAGAGATAGCCGATGATGTATGGCGCTCGTTGGAGCGAGAGTATATTTAACGCTGTTAGCAGCACGGCCGGGCGATCGTGCGTGCGATTGACTCGAGTTTCTAATATCTCAATGCTCGCCATGGAAGTGAGGTGAAGCTGAGTGAATAGTAATGCCCCTCGCCGCGCGACGGAAAGAAAAAAAGGCATCTCTCCGCGGTACCGCGCCTCGTGTGCCGCGGGTTCGTTCCGACTCAACTCGGACTCGGCAAAGCCGCAACAATTTACGACGGCAATTAATGCGCGCGAGTAAGCCGTGTATAGCGCCTATAGTTAGCTGCCTCTTCAGTACCTTGGCGCACCGAAAGCGCGGAAGAAAGAGAGAGAAGGACATTCCGTACACACTCTCTCTCTCTCTCTCTCTTTCGTGCGCGCACATGAGACAAGAAAAAAAAGAGCGAGTAACCGGCGAGAGAGGAAGAGGAGGAGGAGGTGAAGGAGGAAGAAGAAGAGGAGAACGAGAAAGAGGGGGAGGGAGAGAACGATGGAGTACGATATAGAAGGAGAGAGAGGAGGGCTCCCAAGGAAAGGTGAAAGAGAGACGATCCGAGTGGAAAAGGGTGCGGTAAGGGAGACCGAGGGCGATGGAGAGGGCGGGAGTGAAAAAGAGAGAGAGAGAGGGAAAGGTGAACGCGGAGCTCCGAGAAAGAGAGAGAGAGAGAGAAAGAAGAGAGGCGAACCGAGAGAGGCATCGGGCAGACTAAATAATATTATAGGTGGTGTTCTCACGGTCCCGGGACGCCCGCGGGCCAACTCGTCACCCCTTCCCCCCTCATGGCCCCTCTCCCTCGTCTTATTCTCTCTCTCATCCCGCTCTCTTCTTCTCCCTGGCCGCCTCTTACTCCCCCGCGCGCAAGCTTCGCCCACGCTGGGCCCTCACGGAGGGCCCCACGGAGTCGTTCTCTCTCTCTTCGTCCCGCGCCGGTCAGACGGAGAGGCCTCGACCGTGCGATGCCGGACGCAGACGAAGACGCACGAAGGGTCAGGGGTCACCTCGCGCTCGCTGACCGTCACCGTGGACGGTTCCTTCTCTGCCCTTCCCTTCACCGCTCCTCCCACCCTGCTCTTTTTTCCTCTTCGGCTACGTCTCTTCGTTCAGGGAGAGAGAGAGAGAGAGAGGGAGGGCCCCTTTTCTCCCGCGCGCGCGTTCGTCTTTTACTCCCCTTTCGTATGCCTGCGATGCCCTCGCGAGAGTCCGACTTTTCTCCTTCCCCTCTCCTCCCACCTCAGCCGCGTCTTCCTCTCCTCCGCGCGCGCACCTCTCTTCTCGCGGAGCGAAGAGTCCACCTCCGCGAAAGTTGACAGGCTCTACCCAGTTAATCAAGTAGCGAGTTAATTGCCCAGCTAAAACGTAATACGCGCGCCCGCGGTGCGCGCGGGACTTTATTTGGACACGCCGACTGATATCGGGAGAGATGCGTTCTGTGCGTTACCTGCGTGCGGCTAACGAACGATGCGTCCGCTTATTTTCCGACTGGTCTAGATCGGATTTGGAATGCTCACGGCGAAGGGGAGGTGGGGGAGGAGGGAATATACATCACACGTCAGCGATCTGTGCTGCACGTCGTACCTCATCGGTCGTTTCCCCATTGTGTCCCGGCGTGTCGCGGCGTATTAACATGCGGCAGTCACGCGTACGGTAATGTCAATGCTCTCGTGACTCGTACATACGTGGTTGTCCTCGGGAGTCGACGATATCTCACGGGATCTTCACACGAGCCGAGCGTATCGAACGTTCCGTTGCGTCATCGTCGGAATTTCGATCGCCCGGTATTTGCCTTCCCACCTTGACAGCCCGTACAACACAGTGAGCACAGCGTTTCTTCGCCGTCCGCGAGTCGTTGTTTTTACGTTTCCGAGATTCGAAAGTTTATCGTGTTCCCCTACCGTAGTGTGCGTGCGCCCACACGGGATCCGTCGGTCGATTTGACACCGATTGGAAAATCCTCTGCCGGCCCGTGCTCTTTCAACTCCGGATGGCGGGGGGTTGCGCGAACAGCGTTCAAATCGATAAATAAGGTAACGCGGCGTGACATGAGAAATTCCTCGCGACCGGTGACCTGCGTTAAATCGGAAAGAAAGGGTCCGATTCGCTGTCCGGGCGATTCTAATGTGTTTTTATTAACACACTTTACGACGGAGACGCGAACGAAATGCGTGTGCGAAAAATATCCTCGGAAAGTACCGGCAACCTCCGCCACGTGCGAAATCGTCGCGCGTAATAACGTGACAGAAAGTTCTTATATGTATAACTTGACGTAATGATTAATAATTAATCGAATAATCGCGCTATATTTCTATAGGCTCTGTTAGTGGCTTAACCATGTAGAGGTAGTACGGGCTTTTGACAATCAAATTGTGGTTGTTTTAGCGACGTTATTAAACTATTGTGGGAGAATATATTGTTCAGCGTGTAGTGACGCACGCACCGGATTATTCTCAGGATAAACATAACCGGTGAATTGTGCCTCCCATGCTGAACAAATCCTGAGTCCTACGTATGTATATTATTAAACTTTCTTACTAATTAACCCCCTTGTTCCATATCTTTTTGGAATAGTCACGACTCAACTTTTTTATATTATTTATCATGTTGCGAAGAATATTACCTCAGCTAAGAGTCGAAGCTAGACCTTCCCACTTATATACTCCTATAACAATTCAATTTAATAACATCGCTGAAACCACCGCGATTTGAGGCTTAAAGGCCCATTCTGTTTCCACGCGGTTGAATAACAATTTGTTTCTCATATCGTTTTACGTCACGTTACATTTACGATCCTTGATTATCCACGATCGAGTCGCCACCTCACGGGGGAGGAAAACCGCGACGTCGCAGCGGACAACGAATGCGACTGTCCATCTTTTACCCGCGGTACATCTCGTGTTTGTACAACGCGATAATCGTGGCGAAGAGAGCTGTTTCGAAGGTGGCACCTCGGCGGAACGATTCGCCTTTCTTCTCTCGGCCGGCCGACCGACCGACCGACCGAGCGAACGAACGAACGAACGGGCGAGCGAGTGAGTGAGCAAGCGCCATCCAGCTTCTTTCAATTTGCTCTTGTTTCCTCAATGCGGTGAAGCACAGAGGGAGGCCGCGACATCCCGCCGCGTAGATAATTAGATCGCTACTAAGCACCTCCACTTTCACGCATCTTCACCTCCGCGCGCGGTTGGTTGCGCGCCGCCCGGGCACTTGTTTCTCTCCTTGTTGCGCCGCCACCGCGTAGCTCCCCCGCGCGCGCGCGCGCGCGAGTTCTCGCCCCGTTTGTTTCTCCCCGGCGTTACATGCGCGTTCACCGCGTGATACAACCGGTCCCCCTCGACGTGATAAAGGGAGGCACGCATCGCGCCGCTACTCTGACCTACCGCGACCGCGCGATTTCAATGATCGATCCCCCTTTTACCTGACTCCCTCCCCTCCCCATCCGTTCCGCTCTAATTTCTTTCTCTCTCACGCGCGATACTCTGTCACCGGCGAATTCAGTGCGATTAATCGCCGTACACGAGTCTTCTCGCGAGCTTCCTGTCTCCGAGGAGTAATAAATAATCGAAGGACCCGCGACGAAGAGGGTACTGCCAAGGCCGGGGCGGGGGGGGGAGTTCGCTCTTGCGAATCGTCAGCTGCGCAAAGTCTCTTCCAAATCCTCGTGTCGTCCGCACTCTTTCCTTCCTTCTTTCTCACCTCCCTTCAATTCTCACCGCTCTTCCCCTTCTCCTCTTGTACGGTCGATTCTTTCTCCCTCTAACCGATTACACGCTCGTTGGTGCCGCGGTATCGCGAGACGCCGGTCGGGACACAAAGAGGCGGAATGAACGAGAGAGGATCGGGGCGATGAAGAAAGAACGGAAAGGGAGATAGAGAGAGAAAAAGAGAAGAGAGAGAGAGAGAGAGAGAGCACGGACGTCCGTGGACCCTCCGTCCGGGATCGCGAGATTGATTTGTCCAATTACGCTAAACAATCCCCGGGATAATTCGATCGCTCTCGGTATCCTGGGACCGTTCGCGAGGTCGCCCGGCTCCCAAGCGAGCTTTCTGCAATTTGTGAATGTAAATTCCCCCGTTCTCCGCCGATACCGCAGCGGTATTATACGCGCGTCTCACGACGCGAAATTACCGCCGAATCGCCGGCCAAACGAGCCCACGAATTTATCGTGTCCGTAAGCGCAGATCGTTAGCTCCGCTTTTGACTAATGAGCCACGTCGTAGCCGCTTTGACGAAACGAAAAAAAGCCCGGCCACTCAATAAGACAAATGTGTCACCTACGCTACGCGAATTTGCCTCCTTTTTTTCGCTCTCCCTTCCTCTCTCACTCTCTCTCTCTCTCTCTCTCTCCCCCCCTCTCTCTCCCTTCCTCCCTTTCTCTCCCATCACGACTCGTCGACTCACGAATCTCGCGCCGGAAATCGCGGACTGTGTAATTAACGAGAAGATATCGAGGAAGCGATGATTGAACAGATTGATTTCGTGATGTATGGCCGCTCATTTATTTAATTGAAGCCTTACTTCTTGACAGGCTGTATGAACGATCGTTAGGTATTTATTTCGCACGGGGATCGGTTCGCGTCGGCGGCTACGGCGGCGGCGCGCCGAATAAAAGCGGCGCGAGGATGATTTTTCTTCCGTGAATAAGGCCGTTGTGTATCGAGGATGTGGACGCCGGGAGACGATTTATCCCGAAAGTAATTGAATCCATAAGAAACCATGTTGTAGGAGGGAGGGGACGGACTATAACCAGTGAGAACTCGCGACGGAATCGGGCAATTGTGTTTCTTCTCGCGCGCGTTGATTATAAATTGTTTCATTAATCCTCTCTCGTATTGATGGATATCCGATTTCCCTGAACTGCGGCACCTGGTGCGATCGCAATATACAGGGTGCATCGTTAGAATTTGGACTACCTCAGCGGCAAGTGGCACCTATAGCTGAATTCTAATATAATGGAAATTTCAAATTCAATTCTATCTGGATTCTAACGGCGCGCCCTGTACATATTAGGTGTACAAATTAATTTGTTACCTTTGCATCTAATGTCCCGTAATTCTGGTTAAAATTTAAATTTTTTTCCCGTCTTTTGAAAATTCCGATCATAAGCTTTAAGAAGCCCTATAATAGTTGACGACCTTACCGATATAAACTTCAGAAAACTTAGTTATCACGATGTTGTTCGAAAAGAAGCATCTGAGACACCGCATCCTTTTTACACTCCAATTGAATACAAATGCTGTGCAGTCTATCGAACTGATGACTTGTTCCGCTTTGGGTGAAGGTGCTGGGACCCATAAAACTTGCGAAAAGATCTTTTACCCGCAACGAAAGTAAACGGTTGATTCTGCTGCACGATAACGCGCTGTCGCGCATACCGCGAAAGAGAGGAAGGATCTCATCTGTGCATTGAGCTGGGAAATTCTCCCTCGTGCAGCTTACTCGCCAGATCCAGCCCCGTCGTATTACCACCTATTTCGGTCGGTTCAACCCCATTTAACGGATACGCGTTTTAAAACAGTTGACGAGGTCCGAAAAAACATCGGCGACTTTATTGAGTCAAAACCGCCAAGTTTTTTTCCGCGAGGGCATTCATCAGCTACCCGAATAGATGGAATAAAGTCATGGAAAATAATGGAAACTATTTCAAACATTAAACTTGTACTCGACTTTTTGCAAATAAACTTTGAATTTCATGAAGGAAAGCACCGAATTAATTCGTACACCTAATATATATATATATACTATCCGACCGCACGTGGACGGTCGGGTTCACAGTTCCTCGAGATTAATACGTACCCGTAAAAAATGCGCACGCGCGCGCATGCCTAGCGTGCCGGCTATTTACGGGGAACGGATTATCTCGGGAATTAAAAACGAAGTGAAAAATGATTTACTCGAGGCGTACGAAGCGGGGCTCCGAAAGCACGGCGGCGTGACTCCCGCTCTTTTCCGAAAGTGTGCTCCCTGTCGCGCGGCCGCTATATTATCCGGGCCTCGCGCGCCCCTGCGCGCTGACCGACGAAATAAATGTGATACTTTCAGCACTGCCGCCTTTGGCAGTGCACTCTCTCTCTCTCCGGCGAGTCCGTCTCTCGTTTCTCGCGCATAAATAACATATAACTCCGCGCTCCGCTCTCGACGAAGGGACCCTTTTCTCGAGGACGCGGCGCGGAGGTGGCTAGAAGAGGCCCCCTTATCCCGGAGCCTCGGGCCGATGAAAACGAGACGGGGAGACGCACACCACCGTCGGGAGAAACGATGCGATCGGGGGGAGGGGAACGTATCACCAGGAGGCGAAGCGTGATTCCATTAGTCAGGACCTCACCACCGACACGCACGCTTTAAAGCGCCGTTTACACACCAGGACGACTCGCGCTCTTGGTGTGTCGCGAATGAATCTTCGTCACCCCCGAAATCGCGGGGGGAAATTCGAGAGGGATTCCCAGCGCGTCGCAAATAAGTATCGCTTCACGGTGATCGCGCACACCGTCATCTCCGGGGATAAAGTCGTCTCACCGGCCGATCGTTCGCTCGGTCGAAAGTAACGAACCGTGGTTAACAAAAACGCGGTCAATTTACCGCGAGACATTGTTGCCCGATCCTCCTCGCGCAACATCCATCTCTCCGCGACAGCCGATCGTTTCCCCCAATTTCGCGTGGGAGCGCGCGTTCGCCACCTTCGTTATGATAATCGCAATCTCCGCGGACGACAGAAGGGAGATGCGGGTGCCGCGAGGAAGCGGCCGAAAGATGCATCAACAGGCGTTGACCGCATGCGGTGTAAACTCGCCTTCAGGGGACTTGGGGTTACCCCCGAAACCCCTGACGGGGGGTCCGTACACCGGCTTCTCCTTCCTCTTTTTTAAAAGTAAGGATGCCTGTCGCCGATAGTGATTTGTTGAGTATATTTGCATTTTAGATTTAGGTTGCTGCGCCTCACTCGTCCCTCCCTTTCTCTCCCTCCCTCTCTCTCTCTCTCTTTATCCGTCTGTCTTTGCCACCCCCTCCCATTCTTCTCTCCTTCAGCTCCTCACCTCTCAGCCAGGACATGTTCTTCCTGCCGTATCCTTCTGGGATTTCTCACTTGTTGCTTCCCTCGCGTACGATTTCTGGTTTCTGCTCACTGGCCGCGCGTTGCAGGTTGCGGGGGATGGGATGGCGGAACCGAAAGGGAGGCAAGAGATGAGAAAGGGGAAAAAAGGGAGAAAGAGGATTGGGAGGGTGAACGCGGAGGGAATTCGGTCGGCTCAGGAATGACATTAGTCATATACCATCCCCCAACTGCCGGCGAGGGAACTTGTTTATGCACGTTTAAAGAATGATTAGGCGACGGCGTCGCGACGGGGGGCGTCTCGCCATCCCTCTTCCTTTCTCCCGCATCACCGTGGCCTCTTCATCCCGCTTTTATACTTATAATTCTTCCCTCCATTTGCCCTGCGGCTGGTCGCCGCCTTGAACTCGGATCGGTCGAAGGGACGGCCGGAGCCGACCGCGAGAACGATTTCGCCTTCTGAATTCGTAGTGCGTCGCGGGTGACCTGGCAGGGGGATGAAGTAGCGTTCAGCCTCGTTCTAAAGCGTCAGCGAGGAAGAATTGTGAGAAAGTAACCCCGATTGTTCGTTCGATCTAGAATTTATTTTTTCTCGCCAATCTTCACACACACACACACACACATAGTGTGACTAGATTTGATTACACGGAAAAAAATTAGTCTTAAATCAAGAATAGATATTCTCATATACAAGCAAGAATGTTATAATCTTCTTAGAAGACTTTTAGTCTTGAATTAAGTTCAAGTAATACATCAACATAAATTCAATGAAATCAAGACTAAAAGTCTCCTAAGAAGATTACGATATTCTTGCTTCATATATGAGAATATCTATTCTTGATTTAAGATTAATCCTTTTTTCCGTGTAGATAGATAGATAATAGCGTTTGCCGAACGTTCCAGGACAAGCTCTCTGAAAACGCTGATTAGAATAACATTCGGAATTTTTTTTATATTCGGCAAGTTTGGTTAGAAGTGAGACGTGCGAGGAGTGAATATGATACCGGATACTATAATTTCAGTTTAATCCTGACGATTACCGCTCACTTTTATCGCACTTTTTCGCATGGCATTATCGCGAGGCGATATTTCTAATTGGCATAATGTTGGCGCGATCTCACGCCGAACAAGTTACGAGAACTCGACTCGATCGGAGCCTCCGTTCCCTCAGAGCAGAACGCGCGCACTTACGGTGCGTGCGTGGCCTCGGGGAGGCCCCAGTTAGCGGCGCCTTTTTATTACGTAACCTGCTGTTGTTATTATTAATTTTCGGCTGTTCGGCGGTCGCCCGGAGTTACTCGGCGCTTTACTACTGTGAGAAAGACCTCGCACTCGGGATCGACGAGTGCAATCACCCTCGCGAAGTAACAACGCTTCTTTCACTGTGACGCAAGAAGCGGCTGAATTATTGAATAACAATTCTTATTATATCGGGTTCTCGAGTTGCCCCGTGCAGATCGCACGGGAACTACGAGCGGGAGAAGGAGCTCGGAGGGGAAGAGGGAATCGAAAAGGAAACTCGATTCGTCGTGCATTCCACGGGCGTAGCCGTTGAATGACAGATCGATAATTGATCATTATTATCGTATGACCGGGACCCATTGTCGAAGAGGTTCCACGTCTCCTCCTTCGCCTTATTTTAGACCTCTACAGATCCAGCCGGTAACATCCAGGGCCGCGCCCTCCCGCAGGGTCAAAGGTCAGTCGCAATACACGAACACTCGTCGCGAGTGTCGCGCTGCATTCCTATGCGAAGCTCTTCTTACACGAGCGACGCGTTCGTTTATCCGCGTTTCGAGCGGCACCGCGCGATTCTCGCTTTATCCTCGCGAACGACTTCCGGTCTTCCGGATACGTTCGAGATTGTTTCCAATTAAGTTCGAATCGGCTACTTCAATCGAGTAGGAGAGATGAGGGACTATTGGGACGATTTCGACGTTTTGTTTTTTGTAACATTTGTTTTTTTAAAATTTCGCGACAACAGATATTGAGATTTGTTATTTTACCGCGGAAGTTAAAGCAAAGTTTGAATGAACTATCCGAGTATAAAATGAAACGATTGATTTTTTTAAATAGACAATAAAATCGAAACTAAATTATTTCGAACAAATTATGAAAAGGACAATTTTTCCCTCATTTGCTCACCATTCTTAACAGCACGAGCTTTTAATTCAAAAAGTGGCAATGAAAACAAATGTTTTATGGATAACTGATATTAATATTAAGACTGATATAATAGATTAAAAATTTATGGAAACGCAAAGATATCTTAAGAAAAGGTTGAATCTTCCCAACTCTCTTCCAATAAAATATCTACTCTTCCCGATTAATTCCTTTACATTAAAACGGTTGGCAGAACCTTTAAGTTAAACATTAAGGTTAGAGTACTTGTAAATAGAATACTTGTAGAGTACTGTAAAGCTTAAGAACGATATATTAAAATATGTTGAATAAGATTCTCTTATAAAATACAATCAACAGAAAAAGTATCACAAATATTATAATAAGAAAATAATTACGTTCGATGATCGAAAAATAGTATCACTTACCTTGATTTAAAAATTATATACCTCGTAATTTGGTAATCTATATTTTCTTATATGTCACATAGAGGCACGTCAGCTGTATTTCAATCAAAAGTGCATTGCCAACTGTTAGAAAATAAACTACCCCGTCCCAACTGTTGCCCGGTTCCCCTTACCTGCCTTACATCTTACAATACCTCAATACGCTTTCACTGCATCGCATTTAGCCATGTCGAAGACGACCGCACAACGATAAATAACTAAAAGCAATTAACTCGAAGGAGCGTATCTTCGTCGCTCACGCAAACTACTAATTAAAATTTGTAGATCGACGATCCACTTTGGCGGCACTCAGTCATTCGCATTGCGTTGACCGTTCGGCGTGTTCCGGTCTCTCGTCCGGAGATGTCGGCGACGGACGTTCGGGACCGCCAACGCGGTACCGTAACGCGCGCGAGCGAGGCGCTCGGCGAGGCTCTCGCCGAGAGGAACCAGGAAACGTGGAGAAGGAAGGCGGTCAAGTTAGGAAGAGAACGCGCCTGGTTTATGGTCGTTCGGGGCGAACGAGCTTCCCGGAATGCCCGTGCCGTGTACCTAACCGAGCGACGGGTCCAGCCAGGAACGAGCGCTCGTTCGCTCGCGCGCGCGCGCGACCGCGAGTCCGCCTCGCTCGCTCGGTCGGTCGCCGAGCCAGGAACATCGAAACGCAGGACGTATTGCTCTGTCACCCGCGGACCGCCGATCTATTAGTTATGAATATCGTTGCCCATGGCGATACACGACCAGCGACCGCGTGGTGTTCTCCCAAAAATATGTACCGGACGCCCGCATACGCCGGGGCCGCCTCCTCCGCGCCACGAGAAGGCACTTCTCCTCTCCGTCGGTCCTGCCGAAATGTCGCACGAGCTGGGACGGCGAACAGAGGAGGAGCGAACATACTAGTGATAGCACGCGATGATGAGCGAGGTGGCCATGCGTCTCGGGAATGAATTTCTAACCGGTCTCGCGGGGGGTTGTTGTTTCGGAGAACGCGAAGGGACGGAGGAGCGCGCTTTCCGTGAAATATCGCAAAACAAGATCGTACGTGTCAGCTGGTGCGTCCTTGCGCTCAGACGAAATAAGTTTCGCTCGGAATTAATCGATCGTCGATTCTCGTTGAATCTAATTGGAAAATTCATCGCACAATCTCCGTTAATTGTTCCGGCGTGCGATACGCGTCGCAACAATTTTAAATTACCGTCCCCGGCGTCTGCATCCTTAGAGCACAAGCCGAGCGGCCCCGTCGCTCTCTCATCGCGTCATAACCGAAAACGTCTCGAGGATGATCGATATTTTTCGTGTCACCGGTATCCGTCAGCTCAGAGCGAGGGAAGAAGAAGAAGAGGTCGGTCGGGTGTGTGTACGGGGAACGTGTGGTGGGTGTGTGTATACGTCATAAAGAAAGAAAGAAAAAAGAGAGGAAGAGAGAGAGAGAGAGAGAGAGAGAAACAGAAAAATAAAAGAAAAAGAGGGAGATACGGGTAGAGAATACCGCGTTGGCGGCGTCGAAGGATACCGTAGAATCGGGAGAGCGAAAGAGGCGGCGGCGGCGGAGGAGGTGGAAGAGGTGGATGAAGGAGTAGAAGACGAAGCGGAGAAGAAGAAGAAGAAGAAGCGGAGGAGGTGGAGCGGGTGAGCGCGGGTCGCCATTAAGCGGACCCCCTGCCGCGCGTGGCCCGCGGCAACCCTTCACAAAAAACTGTAATTGGAAATACTTTTCCTCCTTTTTTCCTGAAATAATTTATGAATCTTCCACCGGTCAGCTAGCGAGGGCCGCGGCGGCGGCGGCGGCGGCTTCCAGGCTCCTTCGCCGTTCGTCCGTCGTGGTCCTCCACCACGACGGACGAGAAGGGAGGAACCGTCTGTGAAACTACTGAGAGGGAATAACCGTGACTCCCGCCGAATAACGAACTCATTACTTTCGGAGAACCTTCGCACGCGCGCGCCCGCGTCGGCGGATCTGTAAAAGTAGGTGAAGGGCAGACGAATGAACGTCTGAGGAAGAGGTGGAGGAGGGGGAGGAGGAGGACGTGGGCTCGCTTCGCTCCTGATTTCGTTCGCACGCCGTAAATTGTCCCGAAGCGGCGGAGATGCTATCGCCGTGTCCGAGCGTGCAATCTCGTGCGCGCGTCTCGGCCTCTCCTTTGTAATCGTGAAGTTTGTAACTAATCGCTCTCGTAGGAATTTCTCAGGGTTTCTCGGCGCGAAACTCGCAAATTGCTCTTCCCTGCGGAAAGCGCGAGATCTTTTTTTCAGCCGCGATCCGAGACATTTTCTACAGTTTGTCGCCCGAACACGCTCGTAAGCTCGCCCGATCCTCGAGAAAACGGCCGTTTCCCCCCCCCCCCCCCCNCCCCCCCCCCGACTAATCGACCGGTCGGAGAATCCCATCCTCGAGCACGGTCGCCGTCGCGTTCGAAAAATCCACGCGTCCG